GAGCATTAATGGCATTGGGCACCTTCTAATCTCAAAAGGTTGTGAGATTGTTGGTGAGCAATGAAATTTCTTTAAGAAAGTTAGACTTATAAAGAGAGCAACGGTTCTATCAATTCCTTATCTTTTATATTGTTAGATGTCTTTCTATCTCTCATTTAATTCAACAAGTCGGCATGACAAGATGGAATACAAACTAAGATAAAGGACCTTGATAAAGACTAACAAAGCTTGGAATTCATGGAGCGATCCGAGCATGGCGAAGCTCAAAAAATATCAACCCAATTTTAAGGTTTCCGGGCCTAATTCGATGCCAAAAAATCTAACAAATAAAACTCATTGCTATGCCATGACGTAGGGGGATTTTGGCCAAAAAACACTCGTTTAGGCCCTCAAAATCGACTTTTACTATTTTTTGAGATTTTTTTATTTTTTTGAATTTTTCTATTTATTTCCCTTTTAAGTTGGTTTAAGATTTTTCTAAATTTTTCCTATTTATATATGACTTGGAGGGAGGGAAAGCAGACTTTCTTTGTTTAATAAAACTTTATAAGAGAGTATCGTAATTTTATCTCAATTTTTGGCATTCTTTGAATCAACAAAATTTAAAGCCTAATTTATCGGTATTTATATGCAATTCAATAGGTTGTAGTAGATCGACAACTAAAACTTATGTGTGAGTTTTCGGATCAATAATGTTTATTTTCTTCCCGTAAGTTTCTACTACATTAGTTGGTATCAAAGCCAAGTTATCACTATTCTAACCATGCCGCCAAGTAGACAACAATAATGGGATATGGATGAGATCTATGAGCATACCGATGTGATGCATTTAGAGCGATAAGTTGAGCGGATAAATGATAGGATGGAGTATTCATTACAACAGTTGACACGATAGATGAAGCGTTGGCGCAATAGATGGGTGTGTTGATAATGAACATAGGCAAAGGCCATTAGAACCAAGCTCGCCATCATAACCGAGATGCACCAAATACTATCATGGATGATGAGGAGGATGAAGTAGATGTTCCACTTAGACAATAAAGGATCTATGTGAGAGATTATGACGAGTAAGAGATGAGAAACTGGTATATGGATTGAGATACTTGAATTTTATAGTACCTCTAAGTAAAAAAGCTCTTGGATCGGTTATTAATGGTGGAGGAGATTTTAGAGTTTAAAGAGGTCCTTAAGGACAAACATGTGTCATTAGTAGCCATCGGATTCGTGAAAAGAGCAATGAGTTGGTGGGAGGAGCTGAAACCGACCGGAAACGGGATGAGTAAACATAAGATTAATTCTTAGGAAAAATTAAAGAAGCATATGTGTACTCGCCTTCTTACCTATAACTTCTAGAGGATGAAGTACCAATGATTGTAGGATTTTAGATAGGGGACTTAATCAATAGATGATTATACCATTCGGTTCTACCGATTACAAGCTTAGAACGAATTACAAAAGATGGAGGATCGATTGGTGGTGAGATATATTGGTGATCCGAAACGAGCGAGTTAGGAATTCGTTAATATGTTTGACCCTATATGTCTTTTTACTACCCTTCGGAAAGCACTACAAGTTGAAAAGTAGTTACGTCGAAGTAGCTTTATTAATCTTTTTAATACGGGAAGTAGTAGTGCCATAATTAGTGGTAGTAGTGTAGTCCATATAGGAGGTGAAGATAGCAAGAACACCATAGCTACGAGATAGATTTGTAGAGCAGTTGGTAATAATATAAAGTGCTTTGGGCATAGTAAAGTTAGCCACGGACAATCGTAGTGTCGAAAGGCAAGAAAAAGAGTACTTCTTATTGATGTTAAAGATTATGATGAAGGTGATACAAAGTTGATTAGCGATCTAGTTTATGATGATAGAGATGCCTCGAAAGAGGAGGTTATGATGGGTAATGAGAGGATAGTATTGGTTATTAGGAGGTCCTACTTGACTCTTAAAGTTGTTGATGATGATTGGCTAAAGAGTAATATTTTTCAATCTATTTGCATAATTCGAGACAAAGTATGTCAATTTTTTCATTGATACCGGTAGTTATGAGAATATTGTAATCCGATGAAGCGAGTGCGAAATTGAATCTCAAAACAAAGGGGCACCTTTTGTAGAAGCAGTAGTAATAATATAAAGTGCTTTAAGCATAGTAAAGTTAGCCACGGACAATTAAAGTGTCGAAAGGTAAGAAAAAGAGCACTTCTTATTGATGTTAAAGATTATGATGAAGGTGATACAAAGTTGATTGGCGATCTAGTTTATGATGATAGAGATGCCTCGAAAGAGTAGCTTATGATGGGTAATGAGGGGATAGTATTGGTTATTAGGAGGTCCTACTTGACTCTTAAAGTTGTTGATGATGATTGGCTAAAGAGTAATATTTTTCAATCTATTTGCATAATTCAAGACAAAGTATGTCATTTTATCATTGATACTGGTAGTTATGAAAATATTATATCCGATGAAGCGATGCGGAAATTGAATCTCAAAACAAAGGGGTACCCTAAGCCTTATAAGCTAGCGTGGCTTAAAAAATAAAGAGAGGTAAAGATTTCTCGAGGAGCTCTAGTTTCTTTTTCTATTAGCTCTAAGTATAAGGATGATGTGTGATGTGATGTGATTGCAATAGATGCATGTCATTTACTATTAGGTAGGCCTTGGTAGTATGATAGGAGTGTAATTCATGACGGGCGAGCTAACACATATTTTTCTAACGGAGATACGGGATTCCTCAATCATTTTTGACATAGTTTGTGGAAGATGGTGAATACGCGAGTTAAATTTTAGTAGTGTCTATCACCTACAAATAGATGGGCAAGCTAAAGTTGTCAATCGGTCTTTGGGAAACTTGTTGGGATTTTTTATTGGTGTTCCTGTCATGAATTGGGATAAAAAATTATGCCAAGCTAAATTTGCTCATAACCATGCTCGCAAAGAGGAGTACTAGATTCGATCTATTTTAGGTGGTGTATTCTGTCATCCCTCGAGGGCCTTTGGATCTAATTCCTCTACCTAACAAGACCAAGATTCATGGCAAGGTAGTTGATTTTGTGACGAGATCACGGGAAATTCGCAAGACTATGCATGATAACTTGACTCGGTCTTATTCGAAGTACAAGGTAGCTACGACAAGAAACGTCGCTACGTCGAGTTTAAAGAAGGTGACTTTATGTGGGTTGTCCTCACGAAGGATCATTTTTCTATAGAAGAGTATGACAAATTGGCATCAAAGAAGATTGGCCTTGTAAAGATAGTTGAGAAGATTAACCCTAATGCTTATCGCCTCAAGATGCCTAGTCATATTCGCACTCGTCGATGTGTTCAATGTCAAGCATTTGATTCCGTTTCGTGGTGATACTTCGACGATGATGATGTAGACAATTCAAGGGTGAATTTTCTCCTTTCCGAGGGGATGATGTGGACCAACAGGGGCTAGAATTCATGGAGCTATATGAGCGTGGCAAAAGCCGAAAAAAATTATTGACCCGAATTTGAGGCTTCTTGGGCCTAATTTGATGTTGAACGATCCAACAAACAAAACTCATCGCTATGCCATGACGTAGAGGTGATTTTGGCCAAAAAAAATACTATTTAAGCCCTCTAAATCGACTTTTACTCGTTTTTCAAGATTTTCTTATTTTTTTAGATTTTTTCTAGTTGTTTCCCTTTTGAGTTGGTTTAGGGTTTTTTTGGATTTTTTCTATTTATGTATGACTTAGAGGAAAAAAAATATATAACTTTCTTTGGTTACTAAATCTTTATGAGAGAATATCTCAAGTTTATCTCAATTTTTGACATTTTCCGAATCAACGAATTTTGAAGCTTATTTCTTGGTATTTGTGTGCAATTAAACAGATTGTAATAGACCGACATCTGAAAATTATGTGTAAGTTTTTAGATCAACGGTGTTTATTTTCTTCTTGTAAGTTTTTGCTACGTCAAACCTTCGAGCTCCACCATTTTCTATGTCTTTTTGATATAAGACAACTTAATGATTGCATCCGGCCCTCTTATCGAGTCCTTACAGAATTGTAATAGAAGCTCAAATGCTACATATATGTTTGATGTGCATTTTTTAGAGTTATCTTAGAATGAAAAGACAAGAATGAAACTATCCAAAGAGTGGTAATAATTCAAGCCAGAAAATTTATATTTTTGTGTTGTGAAAGAAACGAAGGCCTGGGAATTGGTGATAAATCAGGTACCATTCCTGGTGTGTCAACCTGTCAGGAGTACAAAACTTCTAATTCAGTTGGCTTTAAATTAGTAGCGCTGTACCAATCGATACGGTGATACTGGATGAGTAACAACTAGCAACAATTCTGGCACAACTTGCAAGGATTCTCAAATTGATTGTTGAACTTTAGTTTGGCCTTGTTATGACAAGGGTACTTTAACGTTTTGGTTATTTCTCTCTCTCCACACAGAGACCAAACTCCAATTTGCGCTGAATCTTTGCAATGCAATCAGGAGATCCGCAATACAATTGAGAGCAGGAATGTGATGCCAACATTTTACTCAATATGTTGAAAGAATCAATCTAGAAGCTTGGAGCACAAGGAATATTGATCCGGCCAATGAATACAGTCATCAGATTGTGGAATCGAAGAATGAGGAAGATAGTGATTATCATGGAGATATAGAAGATGATACAGAAGAGTCAAAGATCGATTATTCTGATCCGGAAGAAGGTTTTCTTCGTGGTGAAAAATCAAGAACAAACTGACGAGGAATGAATAAGCCAATGCTTCCATACTGAACTTTATCTTGGTAAGCTGTACACTGAACTTCGAGACATGACTCGCTACATTGGAATTTAAGATCAGAATATCAAAGAATTGGAGGGGAAAAACAGTTATGAGGAAACAAGGGAAAAACTTGAAAGGATGGAGGAGACGTTGAGAAGTAGTAGCTTAGAAGGAGGATGAGACATTGAAACGGTATGCTGAAGCTCTTATAAGAAGATGGTGTTACAAAACCTGGTTGGTGGCCGAAATAGAAAAATGGAAGAAGTGGCGTCAAGAAGATGCAATCAAGAGACAGAAGGAGACAAGTTAATCTGATGAAATAGGCAACCTCCGATGAAAGCACAAAGATTGATCAATCAAAGGAATCCAGCGATATTCTTGATGAATTCAAGAACGAAGAAGACAATGATAATAAAGGTTGGCCGACTCAAAGACTAAACTTAATCAAACTAGTGGGAGCCGAAACGTTGAAAGAGAGTTGAAGAAAGCTAATTCTCCGCAAGAACCAGAAGAAGAAATGCAAAAATTGGTTCCCGGAAGTGAACAAGGTTAAGACTTAGGAACGAAGTGAAGACTCGAGAATAAAGATGATTTTATGGCAATTTAGTTATGCTAATTGAAGTTGATGAATTTGAGCGTGAAATGGTGCGATAATGTGATTGTTTCGTTTGATAATGTGCTTATAGTTTTACACTCTATGTTTTTACTCTCTGGGGTCACCTAATCTTTTAAACTGAATTCCAGCTATATAGGGTTTGTGACATTATTAAAATAGTCTGGCTTGTCTGTATAATGCCTTTCTTTTGATTCAAGGCTATGAATATCACAACTTTAAGCATTTCAATTCTCTTATAGGACTGAAGCATGTAGATACTGGAATATATTGGTGTTCATATTTGAAATTCATTGATATATCTCCTTTCGGATTGTGTTTGTGATAATTGGGTCAGCAATTTCAAAGAATTAGTCAGAATATTTCTAGTATTAGTATTAGTGTTAGTTCGATGCATTACTTCATCTTCTTTGTATTGCCTTTACCCTGGCTGTATTTTTCACCTGCATACTGCCTTCTCAATTCTGGATTTAAATTCACCGTTATATCGAACATCTGCATTTCTCCGTTTAGTTCCTGCTGTAATGCTGTGCTTTTGCAAGGTTTTTAGCCTTTGCTGTCTATATCTCTGGGGAAGAGTTGTGTTGCTGTTCTGGCTTTCTGTCATGCTGCTTTGTCAACCTGAAATATTACTGCCTAATTGAAATTTTTGTTTTATATTCTCGGATTCCTTACTTATGTGGTCGGAAGCATAGCCGGGATGTTCTAATTATGGTCTTTTTAGCTCTTTTTCAGTGCTTATTTCTTCAGAAATGGATGTAATTAAGTACCTGTACCTTGTTGTAACTTTGCATTTATGGTAATGTACTCCTGCAACAATGTTGCTTATCAGGGCCTTTCTGATTATTCAAGAAACTGATTTCTCTTTTAGCCTAAATACAAGTATCTCCCCAACTCTTATGGTTCGTGGATAACCGCGTTTCTACTTTGTCGTTGAACCAGGGCTAATGGATTTGTAATGGAAGTTTTCTTATGATTTTTGAGACACTAACTTTACGGACTACCATCGCAATCGTTGACATGAGATATCAATAATGAGGCTTAAACCGGATACATAACTGAAAACTGATCAGAAAAATGTTGGAAAGATATGACATGAAGTACAACATTTAGTTACTTTTGGGCCATGCCAGAGGATCTGAACATTTAATTCTCTCCCCTCCAGCAGTAACTCCCTCTCGTGAAATAATCATTTCTCGTTAACAGAAAAATAACGTTTTCTTCAAAATACCACATTTTTGCGCTTCTCTTTCTCTGTCTCCCTCAAACTTAATGTAGCGCAGGAGCAAAGAAATCATCAATGGCTGAGAAAGATCAAACTGAAATTGGTCTTGAAATTCAGGCTCTACTTTTGAATATGGCTGATTGCAATAAAACAATAGACCGAAAGTTTGTGGAGTTTTTGCTTAGAAATAAACATGAAGCTGAAGCAATCCAGGCTGAAATCGAAGCACTGAAGAAATTTCAAGAAAACGAAAACAAAAGACGGACTGCGTTAACGGCACAGTTTCATCAACCAGACGAAAGCTGGGCCAATCTTGAAGTGAAGAAAGAAGATACTGGTGGAATTATAGGATTCAATCCATCTGGTGATAGTGGTTATGGTGAAAGAGGGGAACAAGAAATGTCTTCTTTGAGTGGCTACAGCAGAGAAACTGAAGACTTGAAGAAACGTGATTCTGTTCAAGAAGAGTCTGTCCGTGCAAGTAGGGAACAAGAAAGGCAAAGAATGGTACTGGGAAATGGAGATAATGAAAAGGGAAGTGATGTTAATAAACTGGAACGACCAGTTATGCCTTCTTCGACCAGTGACATAAGAGATGCAGAAGAAGATACGAAAAAATCGGTGCCTGGAAGTGGAGAAGGCAATGAATCCAAGAAAGAAGGTTATGTGAAATTGACGAATGGGGTGAAGAAAGTAGAGAGATTGAAAAGAAAAAAGGTTAAGTTTGTTCTACCCGAAAGTTCTTATAAGAAGCTTACTTTTCATACCAAAATCAAAGAATTCAGTGGAAAGATACGTCCATTGATGCGTAAATTCAAGAAAGTTCAACACGATGTGGAAAAGATTAGTCTTGTGAAGTGGCTGAATGGCTATGTTAAATCACCTGAAGATTGGGAGTCTGCCAAAACAATGAAGGCTACAACGGTTAAGCTGGCAGCCAAGCTCTCTAATCTGCTCGTTAATCTCATGTTTTTTCTATCAGATATGAAAGAAATGGCATCAAAGTTTCAAGCGTTGAATTCTTCTCTCAAATGGCTAAATGAAGATGGGGATTATATAGTAACAAGCAGGATTCATGCTCTCCTGGATTTCATAGATCAAGAAATCCGAAGCGAACAAAGATCAAAGAAGTTAGAGTCAGATGAAGGAAACTCAATGACGAAGCATGTCGATCGTGACAGTAATGCATTGAAGGAAGGCTTATTTGATGAGAACCAAGTTAATCAACTCATTCATCAGTTCTTCAATGAAATTCTCCGTTTGGAAAATATTCTAAAGCATCAAGGAGAATCAGATACAAAGATGTCATTAAAGTATTTATCATCTTCACTAGAATCTGACCTCAAGGAATGTGAGAGGGAATTGAACAAGATAGAATCAAGGATGAATGAATTGAAAGCATTATGCGGATGCAACTTGAGAGCTGATGATCTGAATATGGATCTGAAAATAGAGTTGAAGATAAATGAATTGTGGGACTTAAAGGAAGATGCAAACCAAACGAGATTGAAGAAGCTTAATTCAAGCTGAATTGATTGGATCTTAGCCAGTTAGCTAGGACAAGAGAAGAATTTCCAATATTTCATTTTAGGGTTATGAATCTTTCTGCCTGTTATTTCTGTGTGGTTATATTTGTCTCACTCATTGCTTTTTGTTCGCTTGACCTGAGCAAATTGAGTTTCGTAGATGGATTCAGGGATTAGTACTAGTCTCTTGTGTTTCGTTGTTGACGATTTTCTTTATTACCTTTCTTTCTGCTGATATTTTGACTTCTGTTTTTCAATATGGTAACTGAATTTGATGCTTAATTTTTGGGAAGCAATACTGGAATTAAGTAATTTGAGCAACACAGAGTTAAGTTTTCACTTCCACCGCATTGTTTTAACTTCAAACCAATTAAACTAAAAGCATGGCTCTCATCTTGTAATCTTACTCTTATACCCTAGGTTGGCTCTGAAGTCAGTCATGAATTGCAGAATTGGTTAATATTCCTATAGAAATAGATACAAAAGATCCATTCCCACATAGACTTTTTTTTCCCATCTAATTCATTGAGAGATCTTTGGATCTTAGGCTACACAATAAGATAGCTATTATGTAATAATTAAATAAAATCAGAGTCACTAAAACTCGAACATGTTAATTTCATTGAAAAAGCTATGGGGTACACAACCATCAGGCTTGTGTAAAGTTTAGTTTCGTTCCCATAATCACCCGCCTCCGCCTGTGAAACAATAATTTACCCTCAACAGATTAAATGCTTCTTAAAAGAACAAAATACTGTCAAAGTTTTTCAAGTAGCATAAAAGAAATCAACAATAGCTGACAAAGGTGATGAAGAAGACAGCACAAATACAGAGAGAAATTGAAGAACCGCAAGAGCAAGACCGGTGGCATCGAGCTCGCACATCTAGATATACAGGGGGTTCGATCATCCATAAGGAACATGCAATATGCATGGTAACTCCTATTATATATATATATATATATATATATATATATACACACACATTTAAGTATATTTGTTTGTTTCAACGTAAGGAGCTGGGTCGTAAACCCAATGCTCATGAGATTTTCTTGAAGACTCGGAGGGAGGAAGGTTGATGATAAGTACGTATTCATCGATTCGCGGGTAAGAAATCTCCGAGGTAAGTAATTTATAAGTTTATTAAATATGTATATCACTTTTATATAACTTATTGAGATAATTATTTAATATTTAAATTTGTATAATTATATGGGAGACCGTCAAAAAATATTTGAGGAGAAGGTTGCTAGCTAGGAGACGGAGGGTACTTCATCTCCCCACATCGACATGAATGAGATTTTTAAGAGGGCTGTTGGAGAAGGAGATAGTAAGAGAAAGAGGATGTACGAATTCGAATCACGGGTCTCTCACTATTACTCTAATGTCGGCACATGCTCTAGTTTGGTCACATCGCAGTTTCATGTCGATATTAAGACGCATCAAAAAGAAAATGGAGGCCAATACTTCATACTTCTAGACAAGAAGAAAAGATCCGGAAAGTAGAGGGTGTTGTTACATCGTTCCTAGAAAGTCAAAGGCGATTGGAGCAATATACTCAAGAGCAATATGCGATGATACGACTAATGTTGCTCGAATATGCAAAAAAGGTAGTTTATCCATCGATCCTCCGACTAACCATCGTGTCATGACAGGTATCCACTTCATCATGATATATTTTTTTATTGCTTTTAAGTTTTTTTTTTTGCTGAAATATTAATAAAATTTAATATAATTTGATATTTGAATATATATTTGATATGATTGAATTTTATATATTATAAAGGTTTCATATTATTTATAAATCTATTTCATATCATTATTATAGTCGTTAAATTGTATTGGATTTAATGTTTCTTATTAGTGACATGTGCATAATAAAATAATTAACTAAATATATAAAAAAAATTAAAAACAAAAACAAAAAAAATTAAAAATATATATTTAGCATCGATTTAAAAACCGTCGCTAAATACAATGCTAAATTCGGCCATATTTAGTGACAATTTTCAAAAACTATCACTAAATAGCGACAGTTTTACGGAACCATCCTTAAATCAATAGCCCTCTAAACACTCGTTAAGCAACGATTTATGTGTTTTAACGATGGTTTAACTCGTCGCTAAATATTTAGTAAGAAGACTTTTTCAAAGGATTTTAAACCGTCGCTAACTATTATTAGCGATGATTTTTTATTTTTAGCAACAGTTTATAACGTCATTAAAAGCTCTTTTTTTGATAGTGCGATCGTTTGATCATCAAAGCTCGATATCATATTAAAAATTATCTCAATCTAAAAACTTAAGCTATTTGGAGAGATTAAGGTTGATGAATGGTTAAAAATTCTAGAGCCCAAATCACTTTACGGAACTCAAAACACTACACCAAAAAATGATTACGGGGGCGAATGCTTGGGGCGGTCAACAAAACCCTCGCAAAAATTAACGAGCTTCCATCTTACACAATTTATCGACAAAAATATGGGGCGGTTGCTAAACCTGCCCCCACCTCTTTATATCCAATAGCTAACCCACTTTTTCTTTCCCTTTTTCCTATTTTGAGTTCTTTTAGAAAGAGCCCCTTCACTTGTCTCACCACTCTCCTCAACTTCTAAGCTTTTTCTTCAAGATCCGGACCCATGTCTCGGCAAGTAACAAATGCCTCTCATCCACCCTCTCCAAAATCCAAATCCTTGCTTTGACAAGCGAGCAGATCCTTTCTTTTTCGTCTATCGCTTCCTTGTTCCAAGCGGAAAGTCATCCATGTTTCTCTAATTCTCTCGGCAAAAGAAGAAAATGGTAGCGAGCAGCAAAAGTCGGGTTTAGAGGAGACCTAGTAGCAGATAACCTTAAGAAATTTTGCATTGACTTGGTTCGTGGTGCTAGGGATAAGAGACCGAGGGTTAAAGGACCCGTGAGAATCGCTACAAAGGTTCTTAACATCACCCTTTTCTCTTTCGTAACAAATATTTCTCGGTGTAATTATTATTTTTTATTTTTGGTGTTTTAAAGCAAAAAAAAATCAAAAGAACACATGGGAGTCGAATTTGATGGACCATCTCGAGCTGAGATTATCATGGTCGAAGAAGAAAACAATGCCGAGACCAATTTTCAAAAGGTAAAACATCATTTTTATTTTTTAATTTATTTATCTTTAAGCGGAATGGAGTAGAAGTATACATATGGCTTGGGTGTTGTCGTTCTTGTATCTATTTATTTTCTTCGCAAAATATGAAAAAAAAAATTATAGTATTCTTTCTAAGCTACACTCGATTTATTTGTTTTTCTTCATGCCACACCAACCGGACTCATTTGATGGTGCTAGAGTAATGATCCCGACTAGTTTTAATTGATGTGCCGATGGTACAATGATGGTTGATTGAGATGTTGTGTGGATTAAGTGATGGCACTTATCTCGCCATTTGTTCCGTCAAAAACTCTCTTTTGTTCTCGTGCATCTTGTGCTCGGCAACTTATGCATCTTGAAGTTGTTTTATAATCTTCCATGCTCGTTAGATGTTGCCAAGTGATGTGTTGGAATTTTGTAGATCGACCTTGGCATTAAGCCATTTTCTTGTATTTCATATCTCTAGGGCAACATTTGTATGTAGACTAATCCTAATCCACTCAACTCCTGTCGGTTGAGCCATGGCCCTAGGACATGTATAAGATTTTTATATGAGAAGTTATTTGTTCCCATCTTTTTGGCACTTGGTAATATAGATATTTTCCTTTCGTTTGGTATGGTAACCTTGATTTTATTGTCAATATTCTAAATTTACTTTCATTTGCTCATGATTTTGTTTCACTATCATTCCACCTAATGCCCTAGGACATGCATTTTGTATCTATTGCTGCAGAGTAATCTTACTTTTCTTTCCTATGTACCATGATTGTCCGTGCTTGAAAAATCATGATACTTTCAATTTGCCTATCATTCAAAATTATCAATTCTCTTCTTATCCTACATACTTTAGGTGGTAAGTTCACTGGCCATTAATTTCTAGCTACATAGCTTCTGTTCGTACTCAATCATTGAAGGTTGAAATGATTGCAAATCTATTCAAGCATGTTTCTAATACCACTAAGGATCGGGGCATTATCGAGTGAGAGAAAAACCTCATAGTTAGTGTTAATTGTTTTTAATAAACTGGTTTGGCAACACTTAGAATTTATTTACATTCGAGTGTTAACCAAATTTTAGCCTAGGCTTTCCATCGATGGACAAAACCAAGTTCATATGTTGATGGTGCGGACCCATTTCGTTTTGTAGGTGATAGACAAGACCGAAACATAAATATGAGTTATGATCCTTTTTAGGTATGCTTGAAAATGGTGGCACTTGTGTGGTTCTCTTTTATAATTTTGGAGAAATGGGAAAATTTATTGGAGTTGTTGGGTTGTCCTAGGTAGTTTCTCACTCCATATCCGAAAACATAAGTGGGGAAAATTAATATATGCTATGAGCTGTGGCACTTCCTTACCGAGTTAGATATTCAAATGGTAGAGTATTGTCGAAAGATAGTGAGAGATTTGGAACAAGGTAGGCGGTAGTGATATCCACAGCAAGTTAGCAAAGTGTTTTGACGAGGTAGAGAATTAGCTTATTTTCTTTGGGAGTTGGCCTTCTATTTCATAGCTATTTTAGAGACACTATTTTATTTTTCTATTAAGCAATATAACGAAGGTTCAACACAGACTTTTCTTAGTTCCCTTGATCTTCTTTGTCGGTTATACAACCAAGGAATCAAATATAATAGTTACAAGAACTAAGCAAAACTCATCCACGGGCTAGAGCAATGCAAAGCCTATCGCCACCATAAAAGGACAATTAACACTCAAAATCTTTTCTTTTGTTATAAGCATGATCTACAATAAAAGCTTTAGTTGTGTATGTCAAGTTTGCATTATATATATATATATATATATATATATATATATATATATATATATATATATATATTACATGTTTAATACGAGAAATTTGACTTTCCCGATATTGCAAAGAAATGGATCTTGGCATCTTTAAATAAGAAGTGGAGGGATTGTAAAGAATTTGATGTCTACTTTGTTCAATCCTACTTAGGTATCATACATTGTTAATTAAATATTTAACATGTTTTCTGATCTTAAAATATTTAATGAGTTTTTATATGTATTTATATTATTATTTCTTTTTTCACTTTGAAATTATGCTTTTGATAGGTTCACAATGATGGTAATGGTCAAAATGCTCCTTCTTCCAATCGTTCATCACAATCAAGTCATTTGCGAAATGAAGCATTTTATATAAAAACATGATGTAATTTGAGGATTTTTTATCAAGTGTTTGATCCTTTAGTTTTTTTCTTCTTGTGGATTTTTTAAGACTCTTGTGTATTTAGAAATTGATAATTATAAATTTAAGACTATTGTGTAAGCTATATAATTTTTCTTTTATTTGCATTCAATATGATGTAATTTTTTTTTAATTTACCTTGTTTTGACCAAAAAATGAAGTAATTAATTGAATTTGAAGGCCAAATAAAACTATAATATTAAAGGTAGTCAAACAAACTGAAATTTGAGGCGGTTAAAACCGCCTCTATAAATTCTAAATTTGGTATAATTTTAAACTTTGAGACGGTTTCAACTACCCCAACAATTTAGTGCAAAATTTAAAAAAAGGCGGGATTGTAGAGGCGGTTGCCAACCGCCCCAAATTATGTGCCAATCAATACGGAAAGATATATTGTAAAGGCGATTACAAAACCGCCTCATAATTCCCCGTCGGTTGGCAAAACCGCCTCTACACTCTAGAGACGGTAGCATTGCAGGCGGTCCTAAAAACCGCCTCTAGAATCGCAGAGGCGGTTATAACCACCTCTACAAAACAAAAAAACCACCCGCATTGCCTTTTTTTGATGTAGTGAAAGATCGATAGACTGCAAGTGAGGGAGAGTGTTAGAAAATATATCTCACATTGAATAGTTGAACAAAAAAGGAGTAATATATAAAATTGAGAATGAGCTACTCACCATAAGAATTAAGTCTCTTTGATAAAACTCAATCTCAACTAATTAACTCTATATATTTTACCGACGTTTCTTGTGCACCTTTTGACGTTGTTTTCAAACTTGTTTTATCAATTTTTCCAAGAATAGATTTGTACAGCAATTATGGTAATTGAAGAGAGCTTAATTTTTGTTTCTACATAAAACATTGAAGCTGAATTTTTTGCCAACTTTCAGTTAGTTTTTATTCATGGTCAATTTAAATGAACTTTACTAGCCTTGGTGAAGTTTGCGATTTATTTGCAAGAAAAGAGAATTCAAAAAGTTTGGCATGCTTTATGAATGAATCTTCAAAATGTATAATGTTCTATTGATTTGAATGGTTTAATAATTTAACGGAACAGATCAACAAGAATTATCATCTTTATGTTATGTAGCCTTAATACCTTTTGCAGCTCACAACAGTACCTGACATGTCCTGCATTTTAAAGAATGATATATATGATAGATTACACAATTTTTGTTCTATCACCAAATTCTTCACCATCGTGTTTAAGATGTAATTGTCATGCATTTTTTTTTCCCTAGCTAGAATTCCAGTTGTCCCACTTTTGATTTAAAGCCTAAAAAAAAAAAAAAAAAAAGTTCTTGAACAGAGAACTTCATTTTTTTTATGTCAGAAGGACAGAACGATGATAAATAAAATTTTACTCATCTCCAAAATTGTAGATTTAGGAATGGAAGGCAAGGGAGGAGATGTGTGTCAATATGATTTTAACCACGCATAAAAAGATGATGATAATAATAATAATAAAAAGTAAAATGTTTTACGCACAAAAGAAATATATTAGTAAGAAATAAAAATTCATATGTTTGAAATTGGTCATAATAATAATAATAATAATAAAAGGCACAATATGTAGGTTTAAGCTATACATAGCTCCTCCAATTTTATGCTACGTACGTATCACCCGCATCTGAAACAATAAGACTAAATTTCAGTTTTCCTTATCAGGTTTATGTACTTTTTTTCAACGTCATCTAATTTTTTAATTTATTTCAATTAGATTATATAATTTTATTTATTATTATTATTATTATTATTTGTGCAAATTTCAATTACATCTTCAAAATTAATGAAATATCTCAATATAATTCAAAAGATAAGAATTAAAAAAATCATTAAAATATATATATATATATAAAACAAGTAAAAAATATATTTTCGTTCATCAAGACTCGTCTATTAGTCAATTGAACTATATACATGTATCCTCTCGTGATGCATTTTTGTTATTTTATATATATATATATATATAACAAGTAAAAAAGATATTTTCGTTCATCAACACTGTCTATTAGTCAATTGAACTATATATATGTATCCTCCGTGATGCATTTTTGTTATTTTTGCTATAGGTTTATGAAATCTTAGTTCTTTTTTTTTTTTTTTTTGGACTGGATTTGCTCTATGTTTTGAGTCATTACTGTTGTTCGTTGTGGTGTTTGTCACTTGCAAATCACAATAAGCGAGTTTGATTACTTGTGTTGTTGTGCACCATGTATGTCTCGTAATTAATCGTGTTGTTAATGGCATGTAAATCTATCAACTGCATGTTACATTTATGTATTTACGTAGAAAACATTATTGGAGTAGCATTTTTTTCAATAGGCAAATTCCAACACCAGGAAACAATATTTGCAGATCGCTACGAGTTGAACAAAACACATGAAATTATTTGAAAAAATCATTTCACTTTAACGATTTGTTCTATATTGTGGGTCCATAAAAATATATGAAATTAAAAATTAAAAAAAATCTAATTTTATAATATTTTAATCAAATTTTTATTTCTAACTATTTCTTCTTTATGTTTTTCATAATGTTTCTACTTAAAAAATGATTAATTCTTCTTTATCCATGGATTCTTAGACAAAAAGTGAATTCAATACAAAAAAAAAAAAAACCTTATTAGTTCATAAGATTGTTTGGAAATAACAAAGTAACAAATAATATAAAAACTAACATAAAAATAAATAAATAAATATTTTTGATTTTTATTCAATATTAATGAGAATATTACTTTTTGAAAGTATGTACATTTGATTTTTATATATTTATTCATACAAAAAAATCAATAATATTAAAATAAAAAATATATTTGAATCATTAGGTAGTTACGCAAAAACATAACACTACAAAAACAAATTGAAGAATAGCAACAAATTTTAATGACGAACTAAAAATCATCACTAAATAGCAAGTAAATAGAAACTCGAATAGCGTCCGTTTGATTTAGCGGTGGAATAGAGACGGTTTGGCAACGGATTATATGTGACGGATAATATTCTATCGCTATTTGTGCGCCAAAATCTTCTTTGGTTTTTTAGAGACAAGTTAGTGACAAAATTGTTACGACAATCTACAACAAGTTTACGCTCCGTCCCTTTTTCTAATGTTTTGATTTAGCAACAGAATACCCGTTGCTAACCTACCAAATTCATCACTAAATCTGAAAAAATGAGCAGCCATTTGAAATTAAATAGTCATTCATTTGACGATGGAATAGCAATGAAAATCTAATTTCCATCGCTAAATTGCAACTAAGTAATGACGAGAACATTTACGTCACTAATTGTAAAAAAATAGGCAGACCTTCGAAATTAATTGGCCACCTATTTTGTGAAGAATTAACGATAGAAAATTAATTTTCGTCACTAAATACCAACTAAATAGAGACGAAAATATTTTCATCGCTAGATATAAAAAATGGAAGATCGTCCGGAATTAATTGACTACCCCTTTTATAAGGATCGGTGATGGACACTTACGTTCGCCTCTAAATAGCGATAGACCGGTGACAAGATCACATCCGTCTCTAATCCCAATCCCTACCTTCCCTTCTTCTTCCCTAGTTTCTTCTTCTTCTAACCTCTCCTCTCTAGCCACCAGCAACTCCCCCCACCCAAAACCAAAAAATAGCGACGAGTCCTCTACTCCCTATCAATCCACACTCACTCCAAATTAATTTCTCCCTAAAAAATCCTTCATTTTTCCTTCCTCTCCTTCTCTACAAATACAAATTATTAGGTAAGTTCTCTCTCTCTCTCTTTTGT